CTAAGAAAACAGATCGACCGACTTAGGGATTAGTCGGATCACCTGACTAAAAGGAGATGAAACCAGGTAATTAAAATACACCTGGCCTGGATACCTGAAACCTATCAACACTGATCATGGTGACCTAAGTTGCTACGACCTGTCGACACTTGGTACGTTAACCTAAATTGGAGGACCTCTGAGCACTATGGAACCTAAGTTGATGTGGACTAATAAGGATAGAAATAAATCTAATTAAGATAAGAATGATATCAAGATAAGGATGAACATAAAGTAATAAGGATTAACCTCGGGAAGTAGGACAACTCCGGCAAATTGATCGGGACAACGAAATCTTGGACACCAGAAGATTTCTACTATAAAAAGGGATGAGTACAACTAGAACACTCTACACTCTCGGAATTCTCTAGACACATTCAGTATCTTCTTCTCTTTTCCAATTATTGACTTGAACATCGGAGTGCTCATGTCGGGAGCTCCTCCCGACTATTATTTTGTAGGTAATAAACTATTTCCAGACTATCAAATTTTCGCAATGGCTGATTCAACTCAAATTCAGATACCTACACTTAGTGGCACCAATGGATAAGTAACTCTAAATGAAAGTTAGATGGAAGTTATATGTAATAGAAGAAGAATAATCATATACAAAAATATTTTCCCTCTCTTTAAAGCCAATTCAAATAAAAAAAAAAAAAATCTAGAATCCATATTTTCCAAAACTTACCTAATCTCAATAATTACGGTCCATAATAAGAATTATTACAATAATCTTAATAATTATATATAGAAATCGTGCTTCTATATATCACTCGTGTGTTGGTCGTAAATAAGATTTTACCAAATCTTAGTATGACCAAGTGTGTTTAATTTCCTCGTGATTTACTGATTTGTCCTACCTAAAATTATCTCATATGCATTTAATTAATTATCTTATCAGGACAACTATCCTTTGGCATATCATTTTTCGCTCTTGACTTCATTTCTCGATCCATGTCCCATATCATTTCGCTCTTGACTTCATTTCTCGGTCCATGTCTGATAAACTAGTAGGTACCCGGTGCGATGCACAAGTCTTGCCTAGGTTGAGGCTCTGCAAGACCAATTGAATATATTAAATGAATTATTTTTACAACTTTGTCTGTTTAAGTCTAGAAAGTAATAATGTTATTATTATTTATTTTCTATCTCTTTTAATCAACGTTAAGTCTAAAAAATTATTAAGCCGCCCTCTGACAAATATGTATGAAGTTATGTGTTCGTGTCTTATAAGTCATAAACATTATGAATAATATTACAAATTATTCATTCAAACTTTTATTCATTGCAAATATATTAAAATAGTTTATATAACAACCATTAAATACCACTTTCAATATATTTATAAATAAAAAGTACATAAAATTTCTGGTGTGTTCAAATTTAAATAATTTTTTACGGGCTCAATTTAAATCATCCAAACATTTGGTCAAACACATAGTTTTGTTCAAATTTAAATCATTGACATTTTGGTCGGTTAAAATTTAAATCATTTATCATGGTATTGTGATGTGTATTATATATATATATACAATTTTTTAACAAATAATATATGCTTTATAAAAATAATAATAATAATTTCACAATATTTTAAACATAAAATTTAGTTTTTAATCACAATAGAAAAATCATGGTAAGTTGTATTGAAAAAGTGTTATGAGATAAAAAAATTAACTAAAATAATTAAATAAAATACTTGATGGAAATAGAATGCATTAATTACCTTTGACTTTTCTTACTACTAATTCTAGTAAATAGAATGCCTTTTTATATAAGTATAGACTAGTATGGAACCCGTGCGATGCACGGACTGTATTTATTTTGGAGAATATTAAAAATTAAAAGTATTAAAAAATAAAAAGTGATAATTCGTAGGGAAATTTTCAAACCATAAATAGTTCCTCATGCAAAAAATATATTATTTAAAACTTTCTTGTACACTATTATTTGTTTAATAACTGAGCAACCCGTGTCCCCACAAACTAATTTCAACCTTTTTCTATTACTTACACACGAAACAAACAACATAAATGTCTATGATTAAAAATTGTTTTCCCTAAGAACATGCTAACGTACAATAAATGTTAACCTTAACTTTTCTTTATCTATTACTTACACGCGTAACAACAACATACAATTGGTCGTGATAAAAAACATTTATTTTTAAGAACATGTCATTAATAAAAACTCTTATCTAATACTTACACAACAACAACATATAATTGATCGTGATATTTTGGGGAATATTAAAAATTAAAAGTATTAAAAAAAGTGATAATTCATAGGGAAATTGTCAAACCATAAATAGTTCCTCATGCAAAAAATATATTATTTAAAACTTTCTTGTACACTATTATTTGTTTAATAACTGAGCAACCCGTGTCCCCACAAATTAATTTCAACCTTTTTCTATTACTTACACACGAAACAAACAACATAAATGTCTATGATTAAAAATTGTTTTCCGTAAGAATATGTTGAAGTACAATAAATGTTAACCTTAACTTTTCTTTATCTATTACTTACACGCGTAACAACAACATACAATTGGTCGTGATAAAAAATATTTATTTTTAAGAACATGTCATTAATCAAAACTCTTATCTAATACTAACACAACAACAACATATAATTGATCATGACTAAGAACAAATTTCTTTAATATTATGCCAACGCACATAAAGACTGATCGTGATCTTAAATGGAACCCTAAGATTAGAAGCAACTGGTGTTGTGGAACTTAAATAGAATCCTAAGATAGATCTTTTTATAATATGATAATTTACTTAGGTAATCAGACAAATGAGATGTTGTTTTAGAGGATGCTTGGATACAAATCTATCCAAAAGAATCTAATCATATTTAACTCAACCCCACTACCTTCAATATTATCAATATAACTAAATAATATCAATAAATCACTTCAAATCATAATTCACTATTTATCCACTCGCATAATTTTAACTAACAATCACTTCAAATCATCTCTCTCCTACTTTAAACCAAATCACCTTCAATTATTTCATTTTAAATATTATTTCAATATACCAATTATTAACTAACCACACCACCTTTTCAAAATTAACCTAACCAAACCAAACCAAAAAATACAAACAAATCCAAAAAAAAATTATATCCAAGCATATCATTTTAACATCGATTATACTTTATTATTTAAATAATATTCACTAATATTTCTATATTTTTTATACAAAAAGACTGACATTTGAGTGTTAAATAAGACCCCAAAATCAAAAGGAACTGGTGCCGCTGGAACTTAAAAAGAAGTCTAAAAATGGATCTATTTATAATATTATAATTTATACGGCAGTTGGATAAATGAGTTATTAGTATATCATTTTAATATCGATTATACTCGATTAAACTATTAGAATATATGTCTAAAAATAATTAAACTTAACATAGTATTTTCGGAGAGCTTCATTAATTTAGAAGTGTAAAGAAAAAGTTACAACCAATTGTATGGAGAACTAAACTAAATCCAATTTTATAGGATGCATTACATATTGATTAGATTTTATATGTAAAATAAAATAAAAAAAATAACTGAAATAGTTTTACGTGTTGCAATATTTTATATTTAAAAAAAATTAAAAAATCTTATTTTACGTGTTGCATACCAACATTTTAGAAACTACATGAATATTCCTAAATTAATATTGCATACCCAATTTTTAGGAACTAATTAAATGCTAATTAGATTTGCATACCCAAAATATTAGATACATTAATTAAATACTTGATAAAATTAGAAATTCATTAATTAAGTTTGACTTTTCCAACTACTATATTTAGTAAATATTATTCCATTTAATATAAGTATAGATTTGGAAACCCCGTACAAATTACTTCAATAATGCCCTGTTTAATTAATGGTACTATTAAACACGGAAAATGGTACGGTCCCATTACGGAATCATTCTGTCGGAGTTTGTAATCGTTAGATCAACTATTTTTGACAATTTCATGATGATCTAACTGTTATAAACCCCGACGGAATAGTCTCGTATCAGGAATGTAGCATCTCCATTAAACACTACTAATATCATTAAAAATAACTGTAAACTAGTACTAGACACGTTATTGTTTCAATAAAATTGTTTACTTACAATATCAAATATTATTATTCTTTTTGTAATAAAATTTATTTTTGAATTATAACATTTCATTATAAGAATATATTAATTTGTTGAAAAAAATATGTCCGTTTAGCTCCGTTTAACATGTAAATGAAAGTAGATATAAAATCAAAGTCTCTCGCTTACCGAATTCGCATTCAAAGATAAAAAGAAGTGTAAAGGAAATAATTGTTAGTGCGTTCCAAATTTTCAAAAGCATTGATTGGAGTTTAAAAAAATAAAAAATAAAAAAATAATAAAAAATGCATCGACCATATGTTGAGAAAAGTCTTGGCTTCTCCTCAAAAAGTCACGTTAATACTTGTTCAACAAAGTTACAGCTGCATTAAATTAAATTAATTGTGATTACAGAAAAATAACAGAATAATGATTTACAGGAGAGATGGTACGATTCCGTTACGAAACCATTCCTTCAGAGTTTGTAACCGTTAGATCAACTATCCTCGACGGTTACATGATGATCCAACGGTTACAAAACTCGACGGATGGTTCCGTAACGGGACTGTAGCATTTCCGTGATTTATAGTATACATGTTTGAGTTTAAAAATAGTAACTTTTATGAATTGTGTTGTAATTTTTGTGTCTGTAAATCATCCAGAATTACAGCAGACTTGTTTAAGTTAGCTTTGCATTCACTCTGATCACTCATAACAAAAAAGTCACCAAAATCCCAAACTAATATTATTCCTATTTCTAATTTCTTGAATTTGCATTTCCATATCACTCGAAATGGCTCATTTCCTCATGATCCTCATTCTAACATCAACACTCTTCCTCTCTTCATTTTCATCTCAAAACACACATCATACTATACCCATTGGATCCTCAATCACTGCAGACCAAAACTCCAAGCCATGGCTTTCCCCTTCTGGAGACTTCGCCTTCGGCTTCCAACAACTCCCCGGCAACAAAACCGATCTCTACGTGCTCTCAATATGGTTCGCTAAACTCCTCGACCGAACCGTAGCTTGGTTCGACCGACAGCTAGCGCCACATGGCGCCACCCTAACCCTCGACGCCATCAACGGCCTCGTGCTACTTGATCATCATGGCAAGCCACTCTATTACTACACCAAGAATCTTGCCGGCCGACCGGCTTATGCTTCCATGACAGATGCCGGAAATTTCGTCGTGTGGGGAAATGACTCAAATACCCCTCTGTGGGAGAGCTTCACGAATCCAGCCGACACGCTGCTCCCGACCCAGTCGATCGCGATCAACGGCAGCTCGCTGGTTTCTCGAAAATCGAGAGCCGATTTTTCGTATGGTAGATTCTACGCCGCAATGAATGCCCAAGGAAATTTCGCACTCAGCACAAAAAGCGTGTTCACGAGTTCAGATTTCGACGCCGAGTACTACAACAGCAACCCGATCTCGGGCGACCGTTTGGTGCTCGACGGGAGTTCGCTTTCCATTCATTCTCTTGGCGGCATAAACGGAAAGAGTAATGTTATTATTCCCGGCCCGAATCTTCTCCCTTCCGAGTACTATTTTCGGGCTGTGCTCGATTTCGACGGCGTTTTCGCACTCTATTACCATCCGAGAAAAATCAATAACAATTCGGAGTGGGTGTATGTGGGTAGCTTGCCCGATCATAACATATGTATCGATATCGGTGGGGATACGGGGAGTGGGGCCTGCGGGTATAACAGCGTGTGCAGCCTCGAGAACTGGAGGCCTGTCTGCAGCTGCCCAAGAGGGTTCACGCTGGTCGACCCGAATAACCGATATGGAGGTTGCAAGCCGGAATTTTCGGGGAATAGGTGTAGTCAGGGCGGCCCGGAGGATTACGAGCTGGTGGAGATTCCAGATGTGGACTGGCCGAAAAACGACTACGAACAGATAAATCCGAGCACGGTGGGGCAGTGCAGGGATGCTTGTATGAGTGACGAGTTTTGCGGGGCCGCCATTTTCAGGAGCCTCAGCTGCTGGAAAAAGCGGCTGCCTTTGTCGAACGGGAAACTCGACACGGGATTGGGTTCTGTTGCATTTCTCAAAGTTAGAAAGGGTTCGGTAAATCAGTTGGACTGATTTCCTTAACTGTATTTTTATCTTTTGAATCTAATGAGTGATGGATTAACATTTGGTTGTGTAATGTGTATTAATGAAATTTTCAAAATTCTGTCTTTGTATGTTTTTAATTCAAGATACTCACTTTTATGAGTCCAAACAAAATTTTAAAGGAAAATGCTACGGTCCCGTTACGGAATTATTCTATCGGGATTTTTAACCGTTAGATCATTATGTAACCATCGAGATAGTTGATCTAATGGTTAACCCTGACGGAATTGTCTCGTAACGGGACCATACCATCCCAATTTTAAAAAGGCTCAATATCCAGTAGCAACCGCCACTCGTTTTCCTCATTTTGTTGTTGGCGCCAGAAAGTTGCCATGGAACTAAAACAGAGGAGATGAAAACACTGTCGCTTTCACAGCCCATCTCCATTGCGCGCCATTGCAGCACATTACTGCAAAGATGCATGAAGCCGAAAGCGCTGAAACCCTGCAAGCAAATCCACGCGTTCATGCTCACCAGTCACATACACATGAACGTCTTCTCCCTGAGTTCGAAGCTAATCGGCGCCTACGCGTGTTGCGGTGATTTGGTTTCATCCAAATTACTCTTCCAAGAAACAAAAGACCCTAATGTTTTCGCTTTCAATTGGATGATTCATGAATCGACTCGATCGGGGCTCCACGACGAAGCTTTTCGGTACTTCTCGCTGTCCCTGGAATCAAGAAACAGCAACAGCTCGCCAAATAAGCACACTTTCTCCACAATCTTGAAATGTTGTGTTTGTTTGCTGGATGTGGACTTGGGGAAGCTTGTTCATGGCTTGGTTTACAAAATGGGTTTGTTAAAAGATCTGCATGTATGCAATGCTTTGATTGGTATGTACGCAAAGTGTTCGGATGTGGGCAGCGCACGCCGACTGTTCGATATAATGGCTGAAAGAGATGTTGCATCCTGGACAATAATGATTTCTGGGTACGCTGATGTTGGAAAAATTGACGAGTCGGTTTTCCTGCTCGAAAGAATGAGATTGGAAGGAAATGATAAACCTAATGAATTCACATGGAATGCGATTATAGCGGGCCTCGCGAAGAACGGAGAGTGTGATGGTGCTTTTAGATATTTTTCTCTAATGGGTGAGGAAGGATTAGTCCCCGATACGGCTACCTGGAATGCAATTATTTCAGGTTTCGTTCAAAGCCAAAGGGCCTTTGAGGCTCTAACATTTTTTCGAGAGATGTTGATTTCTGGTATCAAGCCCAATCAAGTGACTCTATCTGTCGTGCTCCCTGCATGTGGGATGATTGCTTCTGCTCGTGTGGGGAAAGAAATTCACGGGTTGTTATACAGGATGGAGCTCGACATGAACGTCTTTGTTGCTAGTGCTCTTATTGATATGTATTCGAAATGTGGTAGTATCAAAGGGGCGCAGTGTATTTTTAACTCCATCAGTGAAAAAAGTACCGCATTGTGGAATGTTATGATTGGGTGTTATGGGAAACATGGGCTGGTAGGTTCTGCCATCAAGCTTTTCGAAAACATGTTGAGCAACAAAGTGCAACCGAACGAAGTCACTTTCACCTCTGTTCTCTCAGCTTGTGGCCACGGTGGGTTAGTCGAGAAGGGTTTGGAAATATTCAAATCCATGGACTCGTGTTGTGTGAGAGCAAATAGCGAGCATTACTCATGTTTAGTCGACCTTTTGTGCCGTTATGGGAGGATGGATGAGGCTTATCGGGTTATTAGTCATATTGGGGAGGAAATCACGAATTCGACTATTGGTGCCTTTCTAAGTGGTTGCAAGGTTCACGGAAGGAGGGATCTTGCCGAGAAGATTTGCGATCAACGTGTGGGGATGGACGTGAAGAGGCCAGAAAGTTTCGTGACGCTTGCGAATATATACGCTGCCGAGGGTGAGTGGGGAGCTGTAGAGGATGTGAGGAAGGTGATGAAGGATAAAAAGGTCGCTAAGAAGCCTGGGTCTAGTTCAGTTTAGAGAGTGAGGCGACATTTATGAGAAGAGTGATAAATATAAACTATGGAAATATCATGTTTGGACTTGTGTCGGACCTTTTTCCTCGACTCTTGGGATATAGTTATATATGGTGAAAAACACTGGTGTGTAACTTTTTCTTGTAGCAATTTTGTGACCTCGGGGTTCATTTACTAGTTCTCTACGACCTTGATCGTACATGTGCTTTAATGGTGACGATGGAAGACCTCGTACTTGGGTACATTTTAGTAACATGCTCTCCATGAAATATTTTCAAGGAATTGGATAGTTAGCTGCATTTGCATTTTGTCTCAGAAAATGATTGTTGATGTGAAATTCTGGACAAAGAGCATAAGGGATACCTTGAAAGCTAGAAGACACTGAAGTTTGGGTTAACTGCCGAAAAACCCCAGAGAAGTTGTATGTTGAACTAATTATTTCTCCAACCTAGGGTTGCAAGTTAGTCTAGACGAGTCGATTATTGGTCTCATCAAATCGAGCTCGATTTTTTCACTGAGCTCGACGAGCTAGACTTTTCAAGGCTCAGTTTGATTCGTAAAAAATATACATTGGTTTAAGATTGGCTTGAGATCAACTCAAATTTCGTTAGCTCGAATTTTGCTGGAGTTTGGCTTGAATTTTCAATAAAAAAGTTCTCTAATCAAATAAGATTTTCTTTTTCTTGAATTTGTTCTAGTTCTCTTTTTTCTTTTTTTTTTTCAAAAACGATAGGATTCTCATTACACAAAAAAGATACAAAGTTCAAATATACAGCCAATACAAGAATTAATGGTACAGTTCCAAATCACAACTACAATAGTAACTGCGCCCTAATGGGAGACCCGACAAATAAGGTCTAAAGAACATAAAAATCTAACTAAGACCCAACAAGAATTTTTTTTTGGTACAGGGACCTTCCGGTTTCCGGATCCACATGGGAACCGACTAATCCGGAATCGAGCCGGGTAGGACCACAAGGGCGGCAAAGCTCCCCCTCAAGAGTTTTAACACTGCTGCATTCCCAGGGCTCGAACACGAGACCACTGGTTAAGCTGGAAGAGACTCAAACCATCTCATCCAAGCGCTCTTGGGTTAAGACCCAACAAGAATTTGGCTCTAGTTAAGTCTAAGTTTTACTCGGAATGTGCTCCAAATTGGGGTATTTAGGTAAATTACCCTTATACTCGAACTTATAACGAGTTTGAGTTCGAGTTGTTCAAAGTCAACTCGTATTCAATCAAACTCAAACTCGATTCAAGCATGAGCTGCCCACCATGGGTAGGTGAGCATTACTGTATTTTATAAATCCAAACTCTTTTCACAAATTATATATTTATAGAAAGTCCATCTCATGTTAAATTAAACATAATTCGCAATCAACAACCAGAGCTCTGTAGTTTCCCTTTATGAAACTCTTTAGGCATTGATGTTTTACTTGTAAGTTGTTTCCATGTGTTCAATTTTCTTTATGAACTCTGTTTGCATTTCTTTATGAAATCGCCGTCGCCACCATCTCTCACTCAAGAGCACCGCGCAAAGCCATCGTCGTCCAACATATCTCCAGCTCGATTCACTGCACTTCTCAACTGCTCCAGAAACCTGAAGCATGCTGCCCAAATCCATGCCCAGCTCGTCGCCCGTAATTACCTCTCTGCCCCACTTCTCTTCAACAACCTCCTCAACCTCTACTCCAGGTGCGGCCACGTTTCTCGATCTCTCGCCCTCTTTTCAGCCTCAGATTCCAAAACCCACACCAAGAACGTCTTCACCTACACATCCCTCATCACCCACCTTTCCCGCTCCAATCTGCACTCCAAAGCTCTTGCCTTTTTCAACGAGATGAGGTCGAGGGATATTTTCCCCAACCATTTCACGTTTTCCGCTGTCTTGCCGGCTTGCGGGCGTGCGGCCGAGGGGGCACAGATGCACTCGTTGGTGTTCAAGCACGGGTTTGAGTGGGACGTGTTTGTGGGAAGCGCATTGGTGGATATGTATGCAAAATCGGGCGACATGGGTTGTGCGGGGAAGGTGTTTGATGAAATGCCCGAGAGAAACCTCGTGTCTTGGAATTCCGTGGTTGTGGGTTTTTTCCAAAACGGATGTTTTGGTGAGGCGATTTCTTTCTTCTCCAGGTTGGTGGCAGAGAATGCATTGAGACCCGATCAAGTGAGTTTCTCAAGCGTTTTGAGCGCCTGTGCCAACTTGTCTGAGGCGATGGTGGGGAGGCAAGTCCATGGAATGGTCATTAAGCATGGCCTGGAGTACTTGGCTTACGTGAAGAACTCTCTAATGGACATGTACTGTAAAAGTGGTGGTTTCGATGATGCCGAGAAATTGTTCAGGACTACAGATGATCGAGATGCGGTGACGTGGAATGTTATGGTGATGGGATTTGTCCAGAATGGTTATTTTGAGGATGCTTGCAATTATTTCTGGTTCATGAGACGTGAAGGTGTGTCGCCTGACGAGACTTCATTTTCAACCGCGCTCAATGCTGCTGCGGGCATCGCTGCGCTGGATCAGGGCTCTGTAGTCCATAATCAGATAATAAAAACAGGATTCGTAGGAAACACTTGTGTCGCAAGCTCATTGATTGCAATGTATTCAAAATGTGGGAGCTTAGCGGATGCTAGACGGATATTTGATGAGACTAAAGTACATAATGTGATATCATGGACAGCTATGCTTTCGGCATATCAACAGCATGGCTGTGCAAATCAGGTTATAGAATTGTTTGATAATATGGTACAAGCAGGTTTTGAGCCTGACTACATTACTTTCGTCTCTGTTTTGTCGGCTTGTGGGCATACTGGGCAAGTTGACAATGGCTTTTCCTACTTTTATTTGATGAGTGAGAAGTATAACATGAGACCAGGGCTTGAACACTATGCTTGCATGGTTGACTTGCTTGGTCGTGTGGGCCGTTTGTATGATGCCAAGAGATTTGTGGAGGATATGCCGATTAAACCCGATGTGTCTATTTGGGGGGCACTGCTTGGGGCTTGCAGAAAACATGGTGATCTTGATTTGGGTCGAGAGGTTGCGGAAAAGCTTTTTGAAATGGAACCCAATAATCCTGGAAATTACGTGTTGCTACACAACATGTATGCTCACGGAGAGCGATTAGAAGAAGCTACTGAGGTGCGGAGATTGATGGGGTTTAATAGAGTGAAAAAGGAGCCAGGCTTGAGCTGGCTTGACTTTAGAAACACGACCCACATTTTTAAAGCTCATGACAGAACACATTCTATGACGAAAGAGATATATGAGATGCTGGGAAAACTGGAGGAGCTCGTGAAGCAGAAAGGATATGTTCCTGAAATCCAGTATGCAATTAACGATGTGGGAGAGTACAAGGAGCGAAGCCTGTGGTACCACAGCGAAAAGTTAGCCCTTGCGTTCGGACTGCTGATACTACCGACTGGGGCACCCATTCGGATAAAAAAGAATCTTAGAACATGTGGCGATTGCCACGTCGTTATGAAGTTTGCTTCGGAAATTTTTCAAAGAGAAATTATTGTTAGAGACATTAATCGTTTTCACAGGTTTTCCGGTGGTGAATGTTCCTGTGGAGACTATTGGTGAAAGGTTTGACTTTTGATGACTTTGTGTAAGTCAAACCTAAATGCTATTGCTTCACGGGGACGAGACGAGACTCCAAATGCGGAAGACGGGGCCAAGACTGTGTTAAACAAAGATGAAAAGTCCAAATGGAGAAAAATGCTAAAGACCAAAAATAAACCGTGAAAAGGTAGGGACATTTTTCATTCCTTAGAGAAGTTTTGGTTGTTATTTATAAATTCTAAATGAACTCTGGTTCGCTGGAAGTATATTAACTAAACAAACTTGTGAAGTGTGATCATTTCCTTATGTATCAATATTACATGTTCCAAGTTTTCCACTTTGTATGAATCTATATATGATCATGTGGAAGAGTCCCAAAACTCTTACGTATTCTGTATCATCGATTAGGTTCTCGGTAATAGCTATTAAAAAAAATATTTGATACTACCTGATTGTGTCCTCAACGGTTAAGGTTTCATACTTGGGAAACTGAAGGTTCTGAAAAATTCAGGAAGAATTTTACAGATCTGTTTGCAGCAAATAGGAATGATAGTATGACGAAACAGCGTATTTTTCCACCTAAGTGGGAAAACGTTTTTTCGTTATCTTTAGTCCTTTTTCCCAGTGTAAACACTCCTGTTACCCTGCTTACTTGAGGATCATAATGCTTCAGTTTTGATACTCTGTAAACACTCCTCTATCTATTCAGTTAGTATTTTACATACTCTATGTTTGGTCCATCCTCCAGTTTTGATACATTTCGATGGTCAGCTGTCTTTGACTAACGACTGAACTATTATAGTAGGTGAAATTGTGACTATAAATGGAGAAAATTGACCTCTTCTCTTGTGTTATCGACATAGAATTTTTTATTTTTTTTTTTCAAATAAATCTCTCATTGATTTATACGTATGATTTTGAAATACTGGCATCTTCATTTATTTAATTCAGGAGAAGGGTCGATCATCGATGTTATAGGATTTCTTTTCTCGCGAGGTCGTTGCTGAACAACTTTGAATGGAACTCAGGTTACAGTCTTCGTTTTGGCCTAAACTATGTCGACTACAAAGATATATTAAGGAGATACCCAAAGCTCTCGGCCAGATGGTTCAAGAATTTTTTGCAGCAGCAGTAATAATAATCATAATAATCATAATAATAATAATAATAATAATAATAATAATAATAATAATAAAGGATGAAGAAGCTATGTTATGTATGATGGACTGAATTTTAAAACTATTGCGGATGCATACATAATGCAATTTTATTATCAAACTCAATAATTCCAAATGCAAGATATAGAACACCTTGTTGTTCATATTTCAACTCCACACAGCAACTTAAAGGCACAATAATAACATGTCATAAATTTAAATCGAGATGCTATTCGGCACACCTTTACTCGTTACCCCAGGTTCCGAGAACGGCTTCAGAAGCTCATACGGCACCACGCCAGCTCCGGTCCGATTCTTCAAGCTTGTATCCGCATTTCTACCATCGATAATCCCCTCAATCTCCTTAAGCCGCCCGTTAAACTGCTCAAAAGCGGCAGCTATCACTTTATCCTCGGCCCAACACGGCTGGATTTTCTCCCCAATATACTCCTCATCGGGCGAATGACTAGATAAAACGTCCAAAACAGCCATCACGATTGTTGCCTGAATTTGCGAAGGAAAGCACCTCAAGAGAAACTCCTCAGGCCTCTCGAGAAACTGCTTCTGTTCTTCCTCTCTCGGGTCCTCAGTGGGCATTTGGATCCGAGCTATGGTGGGCCTGTTGGGAAAGTATCCTCCATAATCAAATTGGCCAAAGTTGACGGCTGCATGGTGGGCTGAGGCCACCCATATGATGATTGTAATGATCCCGATCAGGTCCTGGGGGGTTTTCAGTTCGGGCCACCAGGGTTCGTCTTTTTTGTCCGCGTGGCCCATTGTTCGGATCTCTGTCCACCATGACTGAAGCTCATTGTCTGATTGGATGAGGTACGGTTCTGGATAGTAGTGTGAGACGTAATCTGAGACCCAGTGTTTTATGGCGTCCCATATAAGCAGACCATCATTTGCGAAAGGGTAGTCTTCGATTGTTAGCTTTAGGCCGTGAGGTGCGTTTGGATCCTCCACAGCCATTCCCCTGGAGATTCATCGCAATTAAACGA